AAATATCAATATGTTTACTTCCGGCGCCACTTAGTGTCCGGTGCTAAGGGCCAGACAATTTTGTTCATTTGGTGGTACCTACTAAAATTGTTGTAAAAAATAAAAAAATATTCTAACATTTTACGGATAACAATCAAGTACTACTTTTTATTTTTGTGTATACCACTAAAATATAAAAGCATAATACACTAAAATTACTTCCATTGATATTTAGGTGAGGCAGTGTTTTTTTGCGCCTAAAACAACAAAGGGTTGCTCCCGGCGTGGCCGTGTGCGTCACAGGTGAGTCTTGGCGCGTGATCCTGCACCTGTGCGCCCCCGCGCCTCTTTCACTTGTATTTTGAAATAAAAAGATTTTTACTCGCTTAAATAATACGTGTTAAATAGAATGTCCGACTTTAGGTGCCGTCCGGCGTTTCGGGACTTCCCCCTACGTTTTTTTCTGATACAAGAGATTATTAGAGATCTATTTAAGATCCATTCTACAAAATTGCTATAGTTAATTTTTATCACAAACGTACTTGCAGTTTAAACATGTCTTTCAGATTCGAAGTGTATCAACGGTAGATATTCACGTATGGTGTATTAACTCTTTTGATATCATACATCTATCAGTATATAAATATGTCAACAAAACTGATACGATCCTATTTTCAGTACATATCTCCTTTCAGCGCCTACAAAAAGTTCTATGAAAAGCTGTGAAACGGCTTTTAAAGCTCGACGCGGTGTATGATAACGAAGCGCACGCAGGAATACCCGTCAACCGCAACAACAAGAGCTTTCGATAAGAATCGTCTATTTCCGCCGTGGTTCCGTCATTCGTTTAATTTTGAATTATCGTTCACGGAACGTGTCCTGATTGTATGTCGGTTTCAGTTTAATGGTTGAATGGTTTCGACGACATCGATTAAGCAAGGACTGGAAAATTTTTATTTAAATCATTTCAGAACACGATAGAATAAGATGCACTTATACATCTCATTTTTTTTAAATTTTGTTTGAACAGCAATCAAAATTTAAGATTTCATATGGCGATATTAGATAAATTTCATTATTTCAATTTCTATAATACTGATGAATTTTCG